ATGCTGATGTTGTACTATCTCTTCTTGTTCTTCTTGCCACTGTTGCTGACTTTCCTGTAGTTGTTGGTGACTTTCTTCCTGTTTCCTTTCTTGTTTCAGTTGCCACTGGTGCTGGCTTTCTCTGCCAGGCTTATATACTAACGTAAAAGGCATCTCGAATACACTCAGACCTCCCCGATCGTTCCAGAAACTCATCAGCGTCACATGACTTCCGCTGTCCTAACAATAGCTTACATGGTTATAATAGTTTCATAGTAGAACCTGTCTCTTCTTTGTTCTCTGTTGTCTGCTGCTTTTATAGGTGCATCACACTTTCTAGAAATTTCTGATATACCGGTTACAGAAGTTGATTCTTTATTCACGAATGTTCTATAATCTTGAATCATTGGCGAGAATTTCGCTATACGTAACTAACACAGTAAGCTAAATGACTTTGCAAAAAATTGGAAAAAAAATTATCTACTCTGCAAACTTGATTGCTACTACATACATGATGGAAGTAGACCTAACTACCTCTCACCTGTAAACATATACTTTACAAATAAGGATGTAATAAGACCACCTATTACTAGACTTTAAAATCCTACACTAGCTAGAATCTAAGAACAATACATTTAATAGGGTATTTTATGTAAAATGCATTCGATTAGTCTCTAACTAGTGCAATTTGTTGTGTGCAATATGGAACTGACTCTAGAGATATAATGCAAAACACAGAATGTTGTCGATACCTACATGGACATTGCCCTGAAAAGAGTCGAAGCAAGTGCGGTTTACTCCGACCCTCATGTTTTATCAATACCAACATTCACTGGTAGTTAATCACAGTTTGGAAAGGAGGAAGAAGTCACCATGAACCTGACCCTCCCTGGTCCGTCATACAACCAAAATACCGATATTGGGAGAAGAAGCTAAACACGCTGTTAAATATAAACTTATTCGAAACAAATGTTGATATTAAAATAAATATATCACAAATTCGTTATACGCAACACATATCTGATACTACAAGTCACGCATATTTCTAAATACAAATTCAATCCAAAAACATTCATATTAAAAATAAATACATAATAATAAATTTGTTACACAGGGAAAACACTTATCCAGTCTTATATCATGTTCAGCTAAGAACTTCAATTTTCCTCATTATTGGTTTCAATCAGTCAATCTTAATTGAGATGATATACAAACCAAAATATTCTCTTTTTTTTGGATGGGAATACTGTACCAAATTTTGTTAAAAAATAAAACATCCGTTCCTGACAATTCTATGAATAAACAACCAAGTTCCCACCTTAATGCTGATGCTGGATAGCAGTCAGTAGCATCAGATATGAAGAGCTCTCTGCTTTTGATTGCAGGATTGTGGGTAACAAGGTCCTTTCCTGAAACAAAAAGAAATCATTATGACAAATAAAATTATAGTATTTTCTACAATCAGTACATCAAAAATTTAGTAAGGCCTAAGGACGTTGCTTAGAGATATTTGCAGTTATTAAACTAACCTCTAAGTATTGTTGCATCAGCGAGGTCGCGTGACTAGTGTCATGCCACGTTTCTAGAACTATCTTAGAACTATCTAGAACTATCAGTTGTTAGTGTTCGTTGAAAAACGTTTGTAAAAGAGCGACTGTT